CTCATAGTGGCCCCCTAAGTCAGAGAAGGCCCTGTGCCATAGGGTTGGAAATCCATACAGAAGCAGACTCCCTGATCTTGCTCCCACAGGGTTAGCAGGGAGTGCTTAACCACCACACCACCAGGGCACCTTTCTCTCTAATCACATGCACCTGATGCAAGTTTGTGCGGAGGGAATTCACGGGCAGATGATAATGGCATGTGCAGGTGGCTCTCTGTTATCCGTGCCCTGGAAGCTATAAAAGGCTGCAGTGCAGCCCAGCTGTGTTGTGCCTCAAACGCGTTTCTCTGAGATTTGCTGACCTGCGGCAGCCAGGCAGATTGATTGGAGTCTGACTGCTGTTGCCTCTCCCAACCTGGACTCTGGAGGCCAGGCCAGCAAGACGACAACTTTAAAGCGAGCCAGCATTAGCGGGCCACCCATGCGTCAGTGTCCCTGTGTGCACAGGCTGCCCCGAGCCAGCAGCGAGAGAGTGGAGCTCAGAGGTTAGAAGCTGCAGAGCCAGAAGGCCAGTTGTGCTTGGCTGGAGACTCCGAAGCAGGAGAACAGGCTATGATGACTTGCTGCTGAGCTGAGGAAGGTACGACAGAGAGCCTCGGTGTCTTCAGACGTTACCATGGGCTTCTCAGTAGAGGCTATCAAGCCATAATCTGATCTTATCTCTTCGGGGAGGGGGGCACAAGAACAGTTCTTAGGAATATCACAGCCCCCCCCCAAAAAAAACAAAACAAAACACAGAAGGGTACTTTTCTACAACAGAAAAACCTAATGTTTGCTGTCAGGAGTCCAGTCGTAGTTACCCTTGGGGCAGAACAATGTTGTGATTTGGGGGTGGGGGTGGGGGCATCCAGGAGTATCTACTCTTTAGCTGGGTGCTGATCACATGGTGTGTTCAGTTTGTAAACATGTGTGGCACTTTATATTTGGCAAATGTGTTCTGTGTGTAAATTATACTTCAATGATGGCTTAAAAGTCTTCATTCATATGGGCATATGTTGTTGCACATTGATCCTCAGAAGATCTTCACTTTATTGAATCCATTTGAGGTGGTGCGGGACTATTTATGTAGCTACTGGGAAGCCATTCCTCCCTGCCAAAGAGCCCTGCTGGCTCCCGAGATTGCGCATTAGGCTGCCCTGAGAGCTCGCTCAGGAGCAGCATGGCGGTCTCTCCTCCTTGTCCCCAGCCTGCAGTGCCAGCACCATCCCTTACTCACAAGAGGCTGTTACTCCATGATTGCTGCACGAATGTTACAGAATCCCCTATCCCAGGAGAGCCTAGAGTAAATCCATCCAAGAGAGTGTTGGGTGAATTGTTCCAGTGCCACAAGGTCAGCAGTTCAACTCTATCCTTAGGAGGAAAATGAAGCTGTCTGCTCCCACAAAGTTTTAGCGTTTGGGAAATGCTATACAACCATTCTAGTCACTCTTAGGGTGTCACTGTGTGTTCTGTAAGGTTAGTTCAGCAATCATGGACTGACAGCTAAGGGACGGCGCTAGCATTGCAGGCCAGAGGAAGGTAGACCATCATCTCGCTCCTGAAGGAGCTTCCAGTCCACGAGGTTAAAGTGCACGGAGGAGGGTGGTGAAGGTTGGGGGTGGGGGGTGGGGGCGGGTCAGTGGCCACAGAAAAATACAAAGGCCCACAGAGGGTCACAGAACAAGAAAGCTTCTTGGAGGAAGCCGCCTGTGAAGTGCCTCTTAAAAGTACGGAGGATGAGTGGGTGGAGGCATGGTGACCGTCCTACATAAGAGAAAACTCAGGCTTTCTGGGAAGGTTGAAAGAGTCACATAAGGTAGATGTTATCTTTCCAGTACAAAATGAGGCCTGACAGGTAAAACGGGACCTTCCAGTGTCCACCTGGGATGTATTACATCAGTTGGAGACATGCAGTAACCCAAGGAGACTTCTGAACAGTGGAGTAACATGACCAGATCTGCTGGCGTCAGTGAGGCCAGTTTCTAGCCACAGTAACTCATCGCCCTCTGCCTCCCCAGAGTAGATAAGTCTTTGGGTGATGCAGATGGTTAATCACTTGGCTACTCACTAAAAAGTTGGTCATTGAAACCCACCCAGGGACACCGCGGAAGAATGGCCTGGTGACCTGCCTCCCAAAGATCACAGTCATGGAAACCCTGTAGAACATACAGTCTACACCAAAACACGTGGGGCTGCCATGAATCAATCCCTCACCTGCAACAGGGTTATTTTTGTTGTTTTCCATATACACATACACACACACACACACACTTTCTAGATGTGTAGTGCATGTTTTGTTGCTGTAATTTGAACCTGTTCCATTCCTAGTTGTGTCTACCAGTGACCTATAGGCACTTTGCTCCCTTGAGATTCTGTGGTGGTTCTGCTAGCATTTGAAAATGATTGTTGTATGCTGCACAAAGTGAAATCCCTTGGAACGGCTCTTCTATCCATAGTCTTTGGAAAGAAGATCCAGTGGCTGGGTGGAAGCACGCAAATTAGACTCCAGGACTGTAATTCCGGGATAGGGCGGTTTTGTCATTTCACTGGGTGTAAAGTGAGCTATGTGCGAAACAGGAGCAGAGAACCCCATGACTGTCAAGAGTGAAGAGGCGAGAGCAGAGCGGTGCAGAGACGCCTGGCGTGGCATATTGGAGCAGCAGGCTTCCTGGCTCAGGGAGTGGGTGAAGCTGAGGGCCTTTGGGCAGGAGGCTGGCTTTCGGAGTGGGTACCCTTTGAGCATGCATCGATGCTAAAGGAGTGTTTTAACACTTGCTTAAGCAGGGACCATGTGGCTGCGAGACCCAGAACCAGAGAGAGAGATGTACCTAGTGACATGGCTAAACACCGCTGCAGACCAAAGAACTGCATTATGAATGTTTCTGATCCCGACTGGTTACCCTTTCACTGTCTGAATAAATCCCTCTAATCCTAAGTATTATCTGTGGGCTCTCTTTGGCAGAGATTGCAATGGATTATTGACCCCTGCCGAGGTGTAGACTGCCATGGGAGGGACCATTAGTGTCAGCATAGGGTAAAGCAGGTTGAAAGATGGGGGTGTATCTGACCTCGGCCCCTAGAAATCAGCCTTGAGCTGGTGTGGAATTGAAGTCTCCTTCCCTCTTGTATAAGACTGCACGTGCCTTCTTTATTCCCTACATGGCTCCTTTCCGCTTGACCAGGTGAGGCTGCACTATCCTTTATCCTCTTTCCGTTTGTCTTTCTTTCTGGTCACCTTATAAGTAGGCATTTACTTTCCATCCAAGCCTTGCCTAGCGAAGAGAACTCAAACAATCCACTGTCTTTTTATTCCATCTCTTGAAGCCTTTGCCTGGTGCTCTTCTGCCAGCTGAGGTAACCAGCCTTGTCTTCGGGTTAAAACTTCGGGGGGGGGGGGGGGCACGCGATAATGTGAACGAACTTGAGTAAGTTGTGAAGGAGACCTGCCCCACCGAGCCGGGGCTGTGTCTCCCTGTACCAACGGGTAAAGCCCTCCCTGGGGAGAATTCTTCATGTGGCAAAGTGTTCACGCTTGTTGTCGCAGATATGTTCGAGTTGTGAGGTCTTTCAGTATGGTGGCTGGCTAATCCCCCTTCCGTTTCAGCCAACTAGAGAAAACAAAGATAGCTGGTGTTGGAGCGTTGCCTCCCTTTGGACGGCTCTTGAAACGCTCTGCTGATTCTAATCAACAAGTTAACAAATAAGATGCTTCCGGATAGACTTTTTGAATCTGTGTTTGGAGATGGGGTTCAGATCCTACAGAGACCTGTCCCTGGTCTCCTAGGAGTGCTACTCATCCAGGGTCCGACATGGAAAGAAGACTGATGCCGGGTAACTGGATTCGGGTCTTGGCTGTTGCTGCCTCTGTTTGGACGTTTTATTTAGACAAGGTCCACTGTTTGCCTGGCGTGTTGTTTGTTGTTGTTGTGTGCCACCGAGTAGATTCCAACTCACAGGGGCCCGGTGGGAAAGAGTAGAGGTGCTGTTCCTAGGACCACCCGAGCTCTGACCCCTGTGGGAACCAGAGGTCTTTCAACTCCCGGAGTCTGTGGTGAGCTCAACCCCCACCGCACTGAACCATTGGCCACTGGGCTCCTGGTTGCTGATGAGGCACAAGCACAGCGACCTCTGTGTAGCCTCAGGAGGGGCTGGCACTCAGGTGGTTCCCCATCCAGGTGTCAGGACCACCCCTGGCCTGGACGCTCACTTGAATTTGCAGTTCATTTCCCTCGATGGCCCGGGAAGGCAGCAGCTGTTTCAATCGTCTGTTAGTGTGGTCACTGTTTAACAAGAGAAAACAGAAATCGCCGTGGTTGTGTTTTTCATCTCTGAGTTGTGCGGTTACCTTACACAGTTAGTAACACTAATCTGGCACCGTTTATTCTGTCACATCTCTGTAATAATTATTTTAAGAAAGCATTGTTCGTGTGTTATTGGATACACCTGCTGAACTTCTCCTTCCGTAAGCTGATTGAATTCTGAATGGGAAGCCTTTTGCTAGGTGGTGAGGCTCAGTGACTGGGCCATGGCAAGTACCCCAGGTACCTGAGCTCACCTTGGGAAACCCAGACCTCCTCTTACCAGGACTGTACTACCCTGGCAACCAACAGGGACCATCTAACTAGACATGAATTGGTCCGCTGGGCGCTCTGAGTCTCATAGACAGCACCCATGGGAGCAGAGAAGCGTCGGTCTGTCCTGCATTTATCTTCAGAGGACAGTACGAAACCAAAGCACACTAACCACCATCAAATAGATGCCGGCTCAGAGGACTCTAGGACAGGGTAGAACTGCCCTTGTGAGTTTCCAAGACTGTAGGCCTTTATGGGGAGTAGAAAGCCCCATCCTTCTCCCAGTGGATTGAGGGGGCGGGTGGCTTTTTTAAAATCCTGGGAATAGCTTGCAGTTTGGAAACCGGGGCCTGAAAGTGCAGGTGTTACACGGGCACCGAGAATACCGTGCTCCGTCTATCTGCTTCCCAGTCTGAAAGCTGCCTTTCCTGTCTCTTTCAGGCGGAGCGGCATGACATGAATACCTTAAGCCTGCCCCTGAACATGCGCCGCGGGGGGTCGGACACCAACCTCAACTTCGATGTGACGGACGGCATCTTGGACTTCCACAAGGCCAAGCTCAATGCCGACAGCCTGAAGCAAAAAATTCTGAAGGTCACAGAACAGATCAAGATCGAGCAGACCTCCCGAGACGGGAACGTGGCGGAATACCTGAAGCTGGTCAACAGCGCTGACAAGCAGCAGGCCGGGCGGATCAAGCAGGTCTTTGAGAAGAAGAACCAGAAGTCGGCTCACTGCATTGCCCAGCTGCAGAAGAAACTGGAGCAGTACCACCGCAAGCTCAGGGAGATCGAGCAAAATGGGGCCCCCAGGGGCTCCAAGGACCTCTCCCGGGACCACCTGAAGGACATGCACCACGCTCTGAAGGATGCCCACGCCAAGTCGCGGACTGCCCCCCACAGCATGGAGAGCAGCAAGTCGGGCATGCCGGGGGTGTCCCTCACGCCCCCCGTGTTTGTCTTCAACAAGTCCAGGGAGTTCGCCAACTTGATCCGGAATAAGTTTGGCAGCGCCGACAACATCGCGCACTTGAAAAGCTCCCTGGAGGAATTCCGGCCCGAGGCCAGCACCAGGGCCTACGGAGGCAGCACGACCATCGTGAGCAAGCCCAAGTACGGCAGCGACGACGACTGCTCCAGCGGCACCTCGGGCTCGGCCGACAGTAACGGGACCCAGTCCTGCGGGGCGGGCCCGCTGGACAGCCAGGGGAAGCTCACCATGATCCTGGAGGAGCTCCGCGACATCAAGGACACCCAGTCCCAGGTGGCGGAGGACCTCGAGGCGCTCAAAGTGCAGTTTAAGCGCGAATACGGCTTTATCTCTCAGACCCTGCAGGAAGAGAGGTACAGGTATGTCTTCATTGCTCGACACTGAAACACAAAACAAATCCCCAGGTCGCTAACCGCGGAGGGGCCAGGCTGCGTGAGAGTGACATGTTAGTGGCGTGTCCTCCACAAATCAAAAGATGGTTAGGCATCAAGAGTTGTTATATTCTGTGACTCGTACGTTTTATAACTCGGAACTCAGAGCCAGCTGTTGAGAAAGGCCGTTCTAGGTGTGGGTCTGTGAGACCAGCCGATGGCCCATGTGCATCTGAGCTCAAGAGAGATGCGGCGCTAATTCACATTTGGTTTCCTCTGTTAATAGGGCAAGCAAAAGACTGATCTTTGTCCAGCCAGGTGGCTTTTATTTGGCACATCTCTCTTGAAGTCATTTTGCAGGGTATTTTTAAAAACATTTACTGGATTTTGTTCCTTAAACTTTTCACCCTAAATAAAGTGCTTTCAACAGCAGTCTTCACATTAAAGTGCATTAAAGCACAAATCTTAGGAATTTTGTTAACTAATGTTGAAAGTCGGAAACTTTGAAGGGTGGCTTTTGTTTGCTTGTTTACAGCTATTTTTTTAAAGTGCATATGCCCGAATCTGAGGTGATTGGAGTTTTTTTCTCACCCTCCATTTTTGCCTTGAAAACATCCCCAGAAAGTGTTTTGGTCAAAATGCATATGTTCACATCTAAGATTGCCCACTGAATAGGGAAAGGCTGGTTGCCGGATCGAGCGCTTTATTGCCAAGTTTCACAGGCACCGTGTTCTGATCGGCTGTGCCTTTTTATGAGGTGTGAATTCAGAAAGGGGGCTTTGCCCAGCTCTCGTGTTTCATGAAACCGCTGTGTAGACTCTCCACAGGCAGCTTGGGCACACTGGTTACATTCCTTTGTCACGTCTCCAGGCTATAGTAACACAAACACACTGGTAAAGATTTGCAAAGCAGGCCTTCAGCTTCACGTCCGCACACATTCTGTTGCACCTCATCCACTGCAGTCCCCTCAGTGAGACATCGTCCCCCCAACCCACGTCCTCCCCGCGTCCCCTCCCAACACTTCTGAACTCTGTCCTTGGATAAATGCCACCCCCTTGGTTATTCTAAGGTGTGTATTTTGGGGATGCAACTCGTATCGCAAGTCACAAGCGTGCGTTTACATAAACTTGAGACCACGTCTCTGCTTTCCTGTCCTGTAGTCAGATGGGTGAGTCCCATGGTGGAGCCACCCACCCCACTACCTTTTGTACGTAATGAAGAGGCCTTGAAAAGTCTTACCAGTGTTTGACACCTATGAGATCGTAACCGAGAACCATCGTTAATCCTGTACATCCCGTTGCCTCCTTGTTTTGTGAATGATTCTGTCCGGGAGTCCCTACACGTACCTCATGGGGAGAGCGAGCCTGGCTGGAGGTCATTCCAGGCAAGCGCCCCTCCCTCGAGCGCCCCTCCCTCGCAGCCCTCCCTCCTCAGCAGCTGCTGTGAAGTTTCACACCGAACAGATGTCCCTCTCCTCTGAGGGCGCGAGTGCAAAGGGGAATCTTTGCTGTGGATTCGGACGTTTAGAAACCCCACCTGATATGCCATTTTTAATTTGAAAAAGTGTGTGTGTGTGTGTGTGTGTGTGTGTGTGTCAACGCAGTGGGTGCAACAATGGGCTCAGATGTCAGCCCAGCTGTGAGGAAGGAGCAGGACTAAGCGGTATTCAGACCTGTCAGACAGAGGGTTGCTATGAGCCGGGACTGACTGGACGGCACCTGACGACAACAGTGACAGCACACACATTGTTGCCACCACTTCAGTCAGGAGAGTTCAACAGTGTATTCAGGCTGAGGGTGTGTTTGGGGAGTGGGTGGAATTGGCGTCAGAGTGGAAGCTGGCAATAGAAGCTCATTCTCCCCTTCGGTGCTCCAAGGGTGTGGGAGCTTTGACCAGCCCCCCCAGGCTCTGTCTGGTGACTCGGGGGGATCACCACAGAGGCCTTGCCTCGAACAGGCCTGGCCGGCCTTGCTTTGGCCTTGCTGCAGCCAGGCAAGGCTCTAGTATGACGGGTGGGGAGACTAGGTTGGTTGACACGAGAACTCCGCGTTAAGAACAGAGTGAAGACGGCAAGCCCTTTACAGACCTTCACCCGGAGTCGTCAACAAAATGCTTCCCATTCTGCGGGGAGGGTCAAAAGCAGCCTGCTGGGGGGGTGGTGGGGGAGGCCAGCCCAGGGGCACCGGGGCAGTCAGACGGACAGAATGTCCTCTCCACTGTGCTATTGGGAGACCTCAGAAAGGTCACTCTCAGAACTGGCTCCTCTCTTTGCCAAGGTATGAGCGCCTGGAAGACCAGCTCCACGACCTGACGGATCTGCATCAGCACGAGACGGCCAACCTGAAGCAGGAGCTGGCCAGCATCGAGGAGAAGGTGGCCTACCAGGCCTACGAGCGCTCGCGTGACATCCAGGTGCCGTTGCCCTCCCACGTAGACGGCCACAGAGGCCCTTCCCAGGTCTGGCCTCAGGGAGCACCCCACGTGAATCACCCTTCAGCCCCACACAGCGCAGGGGGTGGGGGCGGGGTTTTCTCACCACGTTTCTTCTCCACCATTAGCTCACATGATAGACGTCACATGAGCTGTACTCTGCGCCTTTTTGGCCAAATCAGTTCATAAGAATCCATCTTTTACCCCAAGCCCACCATGAATACTTTGCCCTTCCCACCATCACTAAACTGCGAAACATCTGAGAGTGGGAAACGAAGCCGCCCTTCAGTAAGCTTGTGGTCTAGCTGAGGAGCCAGCTGTCCCAGCAGCTCCAGGTTCTGGGCAGCTCAACTGAGATGGTCAGCCTCAGGCAGCCCCAGAACTTCAGCGCTGGCCGTGCCCAGCGCCCTTGGCCGAGGTGAGCTAGTCAGCCAGACGTCGTCTTGCCTTTCCTGGGAGGGTCTTGAGGAGGCCTCCGGTCATTCTAGTCCTTCTCAGTATGTCGGGCACTAGAGGCATGTCAGGCTTGGCGGTGGGCCAAGCACTCAGAAAGCGCTGTGCATCCTCACCTTGCTCTCGGTGACGCTGCACAACAGCCCTGCCAGGAAGTTCCCAGCATCATCCCCATTCCTCACCTGTGGAAGCTGATGACAGACGCCAAGTGACTGGAACAGGGTCCCACAAAGAGCCTTGAATCATGTACTCGAAGTGAATGTCCTGGAGAAGGGGGGACTTGAAAGGACGAAGATCCAAGAGGGCAGATTATTCTTGGATCGGTACAACAAAAGGCACATTCTACGACGGTCTCCTTGATCCTAGAGCTGGAACAAAACAACCCTGGGTTTCTTGGCCACCGTTCTTTCACTCACTCCTTCATCTTTTCACAAAGGAGTATAATCTTCAAGTAACACTCCCCTTCTGTTTCACCCACTATCTTGGTTGGCAGTGGTTCTTTTCGCCAGCTCTGTTCAAACCCTGTTTTAGAGGAGGGAACGTTGAAACATAACAGGAGAGATTTCTCCTACCTGTTGTGAGCTGGAGTCCCAGCTGCCCACGCTGTGTCACACGCCCAGTTTGCACAATTCTGGGGACCAGAGCATCAGAGATGGTAGGAGATGTCTGTCTTCAGAGACCACGGGCCTTCCTTGGGAAAGAAGACAGTGGGGAGATTTCTGGCCCTACCCTGGGCCAGGAGACCTAGCCAGCCACTAACTGAATTGGAAAACTTGAATCCACCGATAATGTGAAGTGTTGTTAAGTGACCAGTACAGTGTTAGGTGCCCTGGGGTCAGGTCCCACTCACAGTGACCCTGCTGTGTACAGTGGATGCTGCTGGAATACTGCCCATCCCTGAGCCATCCTCAGTTGGTCCCAGGTTTGAATCCATTGGGCAGCCACTGTGCCAATTCATCTTGATGAGGGTCTTTCTCATTTTCATTGACACTCTAATTACCAAGCATGGTGTCCTTCTCCAGGGCCTGTTCTGTCTTCATACCATAACAGTGACCTAGGTTATTCTAAGAAGCCCTGGGGACATAGTGGACTACCCACCGAACGGTTAACCACAAGGTCAGCAGTTCAAGCCCTCCAGCCACTCCACAGGTGAAAAGACAAGGCTGTCTAATCCTGTAGAGATTTTGAAAGTCTTATAAACCCAAAATATCAGTGCTACCCGTCTCCTACAGGGTCACTAGGAGTTGGAATTGACTCGATGGCAGTAAGTTTGGGTTTCTTTCGGGTTTGGTTTTGTTTTTTAGGTCATTCTATTTTAGAATGTGCTTAAGATGTTACCAGGTCTTGTCTGAATACATGACTCAAAGTTGTCTTTCTTATTTGGGAAGTAGTTTGAATTAATTCGGTTCTTCCCTTCTCAAGAAATATGTTAGAGTTGAAAACGTCAGGAGTTCATTTCAATATTTTCTGGTTTCACTCCAGCTCAGAAATGCAGAAACGGCACGTGTGCGATGGAGGGGTCTTCCTTATCATGATGGTTAGGGTCTTGGCTCCACCACGTACACTATATGCCGCCGGCCATCTGAGCACCGGAGGCCTCAGTCTCTTGGTCCATAAAGTAGAAACATTAATGAGCTCACCTCAAAAGGCAGTCCAGAGTGTTAGATGGGATAATACTTGCACACGTAAAGCATTAAAATCTTTGCTGATACTCAGTGAGCAGACAGCGAAGTGGGTTCATCCTTTTATTCTGTTGAGAGGTAGATGCTTCCTCGGGGCTCCTGGCAATTGGGGCCAACTCCGCTTCATGTTTATTTCTAGTTCCTTCTGGTTTTACAGACAGGGTGATGTTGGGGCTATCTTGTTCAGAGCATTTGAGGGGTTTCGTTGTTCTGAGCATTTGAGTTTGGGTTTTTGTTTCAATTCTGAGTTCCCAGTTTTAAAATGTCTGAAGCTACTCCTTCTGCCCTGACCCCAACACCGGGCCTGAGGAATTATGGGACCGAATGTCTCTTGATGCCAGGGCTCAAATCCCTTGTAAGACACAACTGATGGCAGGTCTAAGAGCAATTCATTACTGTTATGCATCTACCCAATCACAGAAATGATTTATTTAAATAATCCATTGAGAACACACTTTCAGCCTTGCTCTACTGCCTTTTCCATTCCACGCGTAAGATGGAGGAAGCCTTCTACCCCAAGGGGTTGATAAGAATGCATGGTCTCTGGGGCATGAGCCTGTTCTGCGGTGGGGTTTTAATATACCTCAGAACGCCACCACGTTCTAGGATGCACGGCTCCCAAGTTTTACCTTTTCTTGTTGGTAGCCTTGTGCGATGGAAGTTGCTATAGTAACAGAGAACCCTTTTCTTTTGCCCATCGAGTATATTCAGCAGAAGAAAAGCAAATCAATGTTGAAGCCATTATGCTTGTTTAAACCCTGAAAAAGATGACTGCATCTTAATTGAGCAAATGCATATTAGTAATTGTTATCCTAAAAGACCAGGGAACTAATGGGGCATGTGCTCTGCTTCGGTCTTTTTCTCCCAGGAAGCACAGAGGCTTTGGGCTGTCAGCTTCATATCCCAATACTGGCGCCCAGTCTTCTGCATTCAACAGATGCGTGGCACCCGCTGCATGCCTGGCTCTAGGCTCTCTGTTGGAGACAACAGCAGCAGCACAGTGGGATGGACGGCGGTCTTCCCCTCAGCTTCTGGCCTCCTTTTGGGGGAGCAAGGCCAGAGGGAGACTTGGCCTGGTTGTGATGGGTCACAAACAACTTCCCCTGGGAAGTAACAATCCCGATGAGATCTGAACAATGAATAGGAGCCCCAGCACTCAAGAGGGAAGGGCACAGAGAGATGAAGATTAGGGGCAGAGTAGACAAAGGCTCGGGGCAGGTGATGCTCCCAGTCAGCGGTGAGCACAGGGCAGTGTCATCAGAGCATGGTGATGGGAGCTGGCCTTCAGTGAGGCTGGAGAGACTGGCAGGATCTGGGCCCTGGGAGACCTCGAGGGGCCACGTGATGGAGTTGAAAGGCCTCAAGAAAAGGGGTGACCGAGTATGCACCGTCAAAAGTGCTCTTGGGCTACTGTGTAGAAAATGGATTCATGGAGTCGGACCAAGAGGATGTGGAGAGAAAAAGGGTGAGGTGGTTTCCAGCAAGAGGTTAGGGTGACTTAGACTGGGCAGTGGGCGCGTTGAGGCCAATGTTGGATGTGGGTGGCATCGACTGGGTTGAGTGATGAAAGGTGAAAGGGCATTGGGGGTGGCTTCTCAGGCTTCTGCTGTAAAGACCAGGGTGGATCGTGGGATTTCCTGAGGCAGGAACGGGTGAGGAAAAACATTTGGGTGTTGGGGAGTGGGGGGCAGGGGCTAAGACGGATGGGATATATAAATCCACATTTGGACAAAGTGAGTTTGAGGAGCTTTTAAGAAGCTCAGATGGCGACGTCAGGGAATCGGATTTATGAGACCATCTCAGAAGAGACAGGCCAGCTCGTGAGACATCGGGAGTAACCTCTGTCCTGGTAGTTGAAGACCCAGAGTGAGCAAGGGCTGCAGGGGGCACTCTGAGAGGCGGCAGGAGCAGTTGTGCCCTCCTCGGTCAGTCCCACCCCCTCCCTTTTCCCCATCTCCCTTTTCCACTCGTCTGTAAACAGACACACGCAAACGCTGAGAAGTAAAAAATTAAAAACAATAACAGACTCATTGTTTTCAAGTTGATTCCAACTCACGACAGCTACGTGTGCTCTGTAGGATAGTTGTTTACTGTTAATGTCTGCAGAGAGATCTATTTGAAGGTAAGGGTCTTGGCTATACGCTCTACAAAAGCAGAGCACCAGGCCTGCCTTCCTCAGTACCACTGGGTGGGTTTGAACCACCAACCTTTAGGTTTGCTGATGCCTGCAGAAAGTTTGCACTGCACAGGGACTGAGCAGTCAAAATAAGGGCTAGCCTGAAGCCTTTGCCCCTTCCATGACTGAAGGGAGAGTAGTCAGCTGTCACAAAATAGAGCCCACCCCGCCATCTTTTCTCAGGTGGGGGCCTGCCAGCAGATGCCAATCTTTTTCAAAGGCAGTAGCCACAATCCTTCTGGTGTGGCTTCTCTTCTTTCAGTCCTGTCAGCACAATCAGCAGCAGCATCGTTTGGGTATTTCAAGCTACCTAGGCCGATAGGCATTCTGAGCCTTGGGGTGTGGGGGTGTGGGGCGATGCACACAGTCTGCCCGTGATCGCAACAGCCTTTGATCACCCTCCCTTGTATTCTCTCTCTCTCTCCCTCTCCCTCTCTCCCTGTCCCTCTCTCCTTTCCCCTCCCCTCTTCTCTTTTTTCTCTCTCTCCCTCTCCCTCTCCCTCTCCCTCTCCCCCTCCCCTGCAGGAAGCCCTGGAGTCCTGCCAGACTCGCATCTCTAAGCTGGAGCTCCATCAGCAGGAGCAGCAAGTCCTGCAGACGGACACCGTGAACGCCAAGGTTCTGCTGGGAAAGTGCATCAACGTGGTCCTGGCCTTCATGACCGTCATCTTGGTGTGTGTGTCGACCATCGCCAAGTTTGTCTCGCCCATGATGAAGAGCCGCTTCCACATTCTTGGCACTTTCTTCGCCGTGACTCTTCTTGCGATTTTCTGTAAAAACTGGGACCCTATTCTGTGTGCCCTAGAAAGGATAATTATACCGAGATGAAGCCCTGGGCGATGGCCTTCACGTCCTCTCAAGTTTTTCTCTTCCAGAGAACTTTGTGCGGGGTGCCAGCTGAGGACGGCAAGGAGAACTGGGGCTGTGCGGTTGTAAATAACAGCAGTTCTCTCCCGCAGTAGCAGCTGCTGATCCAGTTCCTGTACTTGGTTAATGTGAATCTGTCTCTGAATTCTCCCCACATTGCTCACTGCCTTAATCAGATCAGATTTTCTGCTCCCCTGGCCGGCCTGGCGTGGTAAACTTCTGATGCTGAACCATTGGTTCGCGATTAGTGACCCAGAAGAAAGGGTGTTTAAATCTCTGTCCTATAAATCTCTGTCAAAAAGTCACTTCACTGTTTCTAGTGGATGTATTTTCCCTGGTTCTGATCAAGCAGCAGGCACATGGCATGACCTGGGGATGTGAAGAAACACAGGAGTTAGCAAAGTTAAACACCCATGACCTGTTGACATGCAGTAAATCCCCATAGAATCCATTGCCACTTGTCCACAGATGGCTGGACATCCCATTATGCACCCAGTGCCCACAGGGATCAGCTTAGAGCACCTGTTTTCTCCAGCAAGACTCCTGATGCACTTTAAATGGAGAGCCAGGAGGCTTATGAATGGGACTCTTCCTCCCAGTACCAAGGGGACCACCCACCTGATGCTTAGCTTACACACCAGAGTCCTGCCAGATCCCTCCTCCCACCGTGGCTTTACCATTCACTTCAGCACTGGGCTTAGGGAAGCTTTGGGTCTTGGCAAACCTTCCCCCTGGCGATCGGGTGGGTGTGATTCACTGCCTGTGACTCATTATATTCACAGGTCTGGGAGAGATTGCAGAAAAGACTCCGTAAACCAAAGCAACTGACACTCCCTTTGCTGGCTGGTGTGGCATGGTTTTGTTCTTAACAAGAACAACAAAACTGTAGTTCACCAAAGCTAAAGTACACAGAGGTAGGTAGCAGCTGGAAGCAGGAATGCAGTGTGAGTCTGGCTAGATTTGTGGGAGCAATTTGCCTGGAGAAGGGTTGAGAAGGCCCTAATACCAGCATGTGAGTAAAGTAAGCCTAGGGTTGGAGCCAAGCCTTGCATCAGGCGCTCAAGATCTCCCTGAACGTGAATTCAGAAATGATTGGATGGCTACACTTCCACTGACGGGAATAAATCTCTTTGGACTGTTTGGGGAAGGAATGCCCTTCACTCTCTTAGTCCCCGAAGATGCTTACCTTTAAATGTATTTCTCTGCATACCTGCCCACCCCTCCCCCAAAACAACCAAAGGACAAGACGATTCCTTGAAAACTGGTGTTACACCTTTACATATATTTCTCTGCATACCTGCCCACCCCTCCCCAAAAAAACAACCAAAGGACAAGAGGATTCCGTGGAAACTGGTGTTACCGCCCTTCCCCCTTCCCACACGTCCGTTCTCAGGAGACAGGCCTGTTCATAGCGCTTCCTTCCAGAAAAAAGCCTGGGATCACCCCGATTTAAGTGAACCACCATGTTTTGCAAACAGCTGCTCTTGGGGAAATCTCCTGACAAAATGTGACAGCTCGTGCCATGCTATGAGAGAATGGAATCGTTTGGCATTCCATGCAAATGGGGTGCACCCGACCTTCACACACCTGAAGCTTCCTTTTACATGTAGAGTCCCTATCATTTTTAGAATAGCTACACACTTGTGCCACAGCCACCACTATATCATTTCAGACTCAAGCCTTTTACAATACAAAACATAATTTCCATGAAACCGTTTGTTATCAATTATTTTTGTTTCCAGAAAGGGGAAGCATTAGTTGTTCCAGCCCCATCTCATGGGTCTGACCCCCACCCCCACCCTGGTCCTAACTCCCACTGGGCTGTCCATGCCGACTGCATGTGTGCTGGGAAGGGACCGGGGAGGACGGTGCCTCTTTGAACCATTGACCCTTACCCTTATCATCCGCCTCCTCGCAGGCGAAGGGCTGGATGTCATCGATCTCGCGGGATCCTGCGTGGTTTTCTTCTGCGGTTCCACCCATATGGCATTGAGTCTGCGGTCGGTTTGAGGAAGCGAGTGAAGAAGCTGAGTGCCCAGACACCTGGGATTTCGTCCTCAGGTCACCACACTACACCCAGTCACCCAGTCTAGCAAGGGTGCGTCTTTGCACCTCTCAGACCTGTAACCAGTGTCTGCTCCCCACCCAGAGGAAGAGAAGAGATAGTCACACACGATGCCCTCCTTGACCTAGAGCGGTTAACAAATCCTGGTTGCAATTGGCTCAGTTTTAACCTAAAATCTTGTAGGGTCTACTTGACCTAGAGCGGTTAACAAATCCTGGTTGCAATTGGCTCAGTTTTAACCTAAAATCTTGTAGGGTCTACTCATCCCACTGAAGCATGAGTTCCTTTTCAAAAGTCCATAGTTCCGGTGACTCAGGAGATCTCAAATAACCGTATTCTCACGTGGTAGACGTGGTCAAGTCAGTACTGATTCATAACGACCCTACTTACAACAGAACACAGCCCTGCCCAGCCCTGTGCCATTCACACAATTGTTGTGTTTGAGGCCCATTGTTACAGCCACTGGGTCACTGCCTCTTGGAGGGCTTTCCTCTTTGCTCCCCCTCTACCAAGCACGATAGCATTTTCCTGATAACAGGACCAAAGAACATTACACCGTCTCCACACTCTCCCTCCTGGGGAGCATTCTGGCTCTACTGCTCCATGACAGTCCCATCTGCTTTCCCAGCAGTTCATGGTTCTTTCGATGTCCACCAAGACTGTAATTCAAGTGCACTCATGTTTCTCCTTTACCCATTGTCCAGTGTTTGTATGCCTATGAGGTGACTGAAAATACCATGCTCAGATCAGTACATCTCAGTACTCAAGACGGCCCCTTTGCTCTTGAATCCTTTCAAGAGGCTGGTGCAACTTGCCCTTTCTTGACTGCTGCTTCCACGAGCATGGACTGGATCTGAGCGAAATGAAACCCTTGTTGACACCCATCTTTCCTCTGTCGCGCTGTCTGTTGGTCCAGTTGTGAGGACTTTCCTGGAGGCTGTAGTCCTTGATCTCCATCACCGAGGATACGTGCTCAACCTACATGGCA